GATAACAATGAGGATTCAAAAGCCGACGACGCTGGGCGGTCCAAAGCAACTTCTTGCCATGAAGGTCCTGCAACCCTTCTTTGCAAATTCATCAGTCTCGGAAAATGGCATCTTCGGTGGCGTAGATCCTTGATCCTGGACTCCTGGACTGCTCATTTTCCCACCAACTGAGGTCCCTGTACGCTGTGAGGTGGCCTGCGTAGCTGGGCGTTGTGCTCGCTGCCGAGCGGAGGCGATGGTTCCCCATTGAGCAAGTCGTTGTAATCTCTGCTGCGATTCCACAAACCCTTCCCCTGGTCTTCTGCGCTTCCCCATCATCACACTGACGACCATTTGTACCTGCATGTAGTTCAAAGCCCTTGTAAGTTCCTGCGTTGGACGCATGACCCCGAGGGCCCAAGTCATTGTTGCCAACACCACTCTGTCCAACACAAGTAGTCTGCTCTTTATGGGTGCCGAGGAATGGAGGATTTCATGTTTTGCGTGGAAGGACTTGCGGGCACGATTCAGGAATGACTCCAAAACCTCCACGCTGGTCACCTTGGGACCTACCGGGACCCCATGATGAGTAGTGGTGCGCCAGCTGGGAGCGCCGCAATCTTCTTGTCCCAAGGTATACCTCTCTATCTCCAACATTTCCATGGCACATCAGCGAACTCTTCTCAAATGTTTATTCAAAATCCCTATTTATTGAGAAAACCCTCCAAACGTGTACTTGCCGCTGTAGGGAAGCCGTGGTGCTCGACCAGTTGATGATGTCGTCCATGAACGTGGTGCGATGTAATGTACTTCCTTCCATCCACGGGGGGGGTTGTGCTGGAGGTCCCTTAGGTGTACGCCAGTATCAAAGCTACCAACCACGCGAATATGGTAGGAGTTTCCACTGGACCCGGTTTTACCCCAACCCTGTTGCGAAAGGAGCAAGAACCCCACACGGTATCCAAGACTGTAGTTCCTTGCTTGAACGCGTCAATCACCGCTGCCGTCTCCCATGGCAAATGTGGACCAACTTCGTGCGCTAGGGCGGTTGCAACACGGATCTGGCTACACTATCGAAGGCCTTGGCCAAATCCTGTTGCAAGACCGCTAATGATGTCCCCCACTCGGCACACAACTGGCATACATTTTGCACGGCAAACAGCATGTCCGCCGACTCTCTCCCAGCGGCGCAGCATTGTTCTGGACGGCTAGGCGCCAAAAACCCCGCAAGTCTGGTGATTAAGATCCTGCTGTAGGTTTTGTATATGTGGGAGCTCAACATCAGAGGACGTAGTTCTTGTTGGTCGTGGAACTTTTGCAAGCGGGGTCATCACGCTTGTCTGCCATTTGGTGGGGGGGCAGCGCGAAAGAAACACCTGGTTATAGAACTTCGTCAGGCCTGCGAGGCCATCCTCACTCTGCACTAATAGTTTCAGGAGCTCTTGCGGTACCAGGTCTGCGCCTACCGATCGCCCATTCTTACCCTGCATCACCGCACATCTCACCTCTTCCAATAAGAAGGGGTTTAAGGTCCTGTCCCTCTCATCACGAACCAATTTGTCCGAAATGTGTTCGATTGTCTAGTTGAGGTTGTTGATTTTAGGCTCGTCCAACCTAGATACAAAATGTTGTTGTATCTGCTCCAGTGGGGTGTGTCGGTATCTAGGCCGAATTCCTGCCGCCACTCAGAAGCTCCCGCTCTCTTAAGCTTTCGGTACGACGACCAATCCTCTGATGCTCTGGCAATGAGGGCTTCTTGCTGTCGGTCACGTAATGCTTGCATATATTGCTCCCATACTGCAGAGGTCTTCTGGGTTTTAGCTTTCTTTGCAAGGTCCCTGACGCCTTGACACAAAGGCGGTCTGCTTGAAACAACCCTCCTCGTGTATTGCTGGGCCATGTTCTCCCAAGTCTCCTGGGATATATCACTGGGTACCTCGATTTCACGCTGAACCAAAGTACGTTTGCCCCCCCTGAAATTTCCTCCTAGTCTTGGGGAGTTCGATCTGGTACCCGATTCTGACGTGGTCATGATCAGATCCCACCGCATGTCTGGAATCAACAAGAACCCTCGCAGCACTGCATCTTGCTGTAACAGACGCCCAAAACCCATCGATTTGTCCACAGCTACCTCCTGCTTTTCTGGAATGATGCATAAATAAATTGGCATCCTCTTGGGGAATAAGGTGTAACCGTCTTTGCATTAATGCTGCTTTGAGGTTGCGAAGTTTTACTCCACTACCTGTCGAGACAGAAGTGCTCTCAGAATCTTGCCTGCAACCAAACGGAACGTTCCAATCTCCGGCTAGGATGATCGGCTCCGACGCGGGCGGAAGTGCCTTAAGCAACGCACGCTGCAGCTCGTAGATGTCCTGTGAAACACCCGTGCTGAGGTATCCTGAGCCAACCCAAAATTGCTTTGTTGTTCCAGCAATCTCAAGCAGTATCCAGATGCCTTGTTCGCACGCTTTTCTCTTACGAGCAATGAACTTGCGTGAGTCATACGCTATAGCCACCCCTCTCCAAGCGTCCAGGCCCTGATACTTTTGTAGCGTGAGCCTCCCACATGCTACTGGCTTGGACCAACCAGATTCCTTCCGCGCAACCTCCTGCAACAACCAGATTTCACTTTCGAGACCCTGTTCTGCAAGATAGATCTGTATTTTCTGAATTGAAACCCAGCAGTATTCCACGTTGTAACGGAAATGTTTTGCCCAGGCGTGAAACTCTGCAAGCTCTGTAACTCGGTCATGAACGGGAGTCTTGATCTTGGCTGCAACAAGGCTGATGACTACCCAGCTCGGTGTCACCTTGCCCTTCGGTCTGGTCGAGGAAGCCAACATAGTATTGCCCAACCATACCGACCCCGTGGCATATTCGGTCTCTAGTTGGGGGACTAGGGCGGGGGCCAGCACATGAAAAAGCTTTCTAACTTTGCTGGCATGCGCCGCTCTCTGCCGCTCCTGGGGGCTTTTACTGTAACTGGACCACATAGTTTTGCCCTCTTCGATGTTATGCTCTTGGATCTTGGCCTGGTTGATGGTCTTCACGGTGTTCACGATTTTCTGCATGCGACCTCTGGTATCTACAGGCTGCTCACCCTCCCTAGGGTGCATATTGAGAATCGCAAAAAAAACTTCTCAATCCAGGGCAGATCGGTGGCTCAGCTATCTCCTGTCTCAGTTCAAGCGCCCCCAAAGCATCATCCACATTCTTGAGCAGATCGTCGCGTCTCGTATCAGCCCCCCATCCTCCAACAATCAGGGCTAGCTTTCTCTCATGCTCAGACAGAGCAGTCGACGCCGTCGATCCTTGGCTGTCCACCGCAGCTAGCCTGTTGGTGATCATCTCCTGAGCCCTTTTCAAGTCATCGATTCTGGCATCTTGTTGGCTGACGTGGTGTTGCAGCGTGACTACTTCCTCCTTAACCGCCTTCAGCTTCAGCATGGTTGCAGCCTCCAGCCGCCCAATGGCAGTGTCTATGTCGGCAGCATTCTGCGCACGAATCTCCTTGGTTTGAGCTTCCAGGAGATGTTGCAAGGAGGCAACCATCAAGTCTCCACCATCTCGGCGTTTGGATGGCGAAGTCACATCATCACCTTGCCACTTCTCACCTTTGTCCGCACCTTTGGCGTCCACCTCCATCACAGGCAGTCGCAGGAGCAGCCCAAGAAAGCACAGCAGCGGCGACACGATGGCTCGCCCGACAGACGAGGGTCCAGTACTCTCAGTTTCCAGGGTACTTGGAAGGCTCAGGAAAGTTTTTTGGGGGCTTCCAAAATTGAAGCCGAAATGCTCGGCCTTCATAATTAAAGACGGGTTACGCCCCAACCACGCCCGAACCGCGCCCTAACCACGCCCGAACCACGCCAGAACCACTCCTGACAGCCCCAGACCGCGCCCAGACCCCCCAAATGCCCACACACCCCAACACCCTAGCTGCTGGCCGCTCCCCCCAAAATAAAGGGCCACGTGGGGCCCACTGCCAAACAAGGCATACTATCAGATCGCCCATCGCGCGGGCAACAAGAACTGTAAGGGGCGGGCAGGATATCAAGCAAACCCATGACCAAGTCTGTTTGCTGCTTGCTGCTGATTGGGGCGAAGCTCATGCGCAGGCACACCTTTACGCTTGCTGCATGCTACTGCCAGGCTACAACATAATTTCTGCTCCTCCGGTGCAGCCAACGTGTTCACAAAATGGCCACAAACATTCCTCTAATTGTCCTGCTGTTTTCCATCAAATGTCCTGTAAATGTCCTCAAACCCCAACAATACGAATCACACACCCAATCACAAATACATCGCTTATTAATTCCGGGCGCAGCCCTCGCTCTCTACATGGCTTGAAGGTCACACATGTGAGCCTTTTGATTTTTGCGGGCTTGAGTAACTCTAAACCTTGACCATCGAAAACGAAAGTACCACACTTGCACATCAACTCAATAAGACCAAGCAATGGTTTGACTTGATGGCTTCGTTCGACCCAGCTCGTGCGATTAAACGAGATCCTGATGCTTGCTGACAGTACTTCCAAATCGGCTTATCCACACTGTCGGCGACTCCGGTCGAGAACAACAGGCTTGCATGGCACCGAATGGCAAACCCAGCCTGACCAGGCCCGCGTGCCTGGAGGCGGCAGAAAAGCCAAAAGCAAACCAGTCACATTGGCAAAGATTGCAAAAAAAGCACAGTGCAAGTAGTGCAAGTAGTGCATGTGCAGTGTTGAACCCTAGTATGAGTCTATGACTGGAGCAAGGTTGGCTGCTTGTCAAGAGCAGGCTTGATCCATGGCACATGCATGCGGCCTGGAAGCAAGGCGACTTTTGCAATGTTAGGAGTCAGTTACGCTGAGTATGACATTAATCATTTGAGCGCTCATTCGGCAATGTGCAAAAACAATGCTATCTCACTGATTGTAGCAAATAGTTTTGGGCCTGAGCAAGAATGGCTGGAGGTTGCACCGGTCGCTTTCGAGTGGCTTTTCAGCACCATATGGACTCTGCAAGCTGTTCCATGTCCTGGACTCTGGCTCTGCGTGCTTGCGGCTGACGCCATGCCCACGCCCTAGCCCGCGCGACAAGCAGTGCAGCTGCAAGTCTGGCTGCTAGCTGCTGCACCTGTGTGACAAGTGGCCCCCGCGGCGCAACGAAGCTCACAGCTCCAACAGGCGAAGGCGTAATTTGCCGTGCCACTGTGCAGACAACCTGTCATATTCAAGATACCCGAAGCGCAAACCCAAAAAGAGCGTTTGTGTGCCATACGTGCCTGCCGGCTCGGTGTCAAACAGCCAGGCACGGGGGAATCAACCTTGTGGCAGTCATGTCTTGGCCTTAAAGGACTCCTATGGTCTACCCAAGCCCAAGTCTTCACCAGTGCTGGAGGAAGGTGGTGTTTGCACCTGCCATCTATTCAATGGGACTCTAGAGCAATGGGGTTCCTGCCTGCAGTGCATCCACAAAGGCTTGTCTTTCAACTGTGACATGCCTTCGGGGACCTTGAACTTCTCTAGACCAAGAATGTACATCAACAACCCTTTGAGGACTCTGCTGAAGCCTGCTGAGCCCGCGCAGCTTAGATACTTTCCATGAGAACAGTACTGCGTGGTGCTAGATTCGACAGCCGCAATGGTAATTTGGCCAGAGCTACCAAAACTCTGCCGCTCGTGACTGCAACAGGCGAAACTGCACAAGGCCACGGGAAGCTGCGGGGCTGAGGTGGTGTAAATGCCAGGCGAGCGGCCTCCAAGCATTCAAGTCCGATCTGTGCCAAGAGTTGCCGACTCTCGGGCCCAGTGCAAGCTGAGATGTCCACTGTTCCTGGCCACCCAACGACTGCGCCTCAAATGCTGGCTGGCTGCTGCCAAATCAAGCAAGCCCTGGAAAGATGCCATGCAGCCTCCAGCTCTATGCTCAACTTGCAAAGGAGTTTGTGGCAAGCTTCCCACCTCCAAAGCTGTCTGGGAACCGAACAAAAGACCCAGCACTGGTTTCAATTTAAAACAAGAAACAGGGGAGGTTGTTGGAGACAAAGAGCTCCAGGATGTCACGGGACATCCTCAAGACTTGGCAGATGTGCTCTCCGTACTCCCAGCAAAAAACTGAAGTCCTCTGAAAGATGAAATGCTGTGCGCAGTCCTGTGCACAGGCAAACTGAAGCGCGTGTTCGTGAATGGACACTGCAAGGATCGCCTTTGCTGGCCCTGATGGACGTCCATGATCAACTGCAAGATGGTCTGGGAACAGACCACTGCTTCAAATGGTTGTCAGCTGGTTGCGGTGCATATTTTTTGCTGCAACACAACATCGATTTGTCCCTAAAGTGTAGGTCAGCACATATGCAGCCATGGTGTTGGATGCTTGCCAAAATTTGCAGAAGTCGAGTCATGTCATGTGCGGTCATGTCCATTTGCTGGGAGCACGTAGGTCAAGTGAAGTTTCTACGCAGAGCTTGCTCAGCAATCGGCACAGCTGACTCAAACAATTCCCACATGCTCTTTCCACCGTCGCAGCCTCATTCGATGCCGGCTCAAGCCGAACCGATGAGTAGTCCCACCGACCCATGAACAGGAGGCCGGATGAAAAAAAGACTCAGATCCCAGATCCGCATCCGGGATCCAAACGTCAAAAAACATACCAACAAACAGATCCTGCACTAGCAGGACATAACTCCCAACTAAGGATCTCTTTACATGGACGCTTTCAAGGGGATGCAACTCGCTCATTCCACAGAAGCCTTTCTTGAAAGCTGATGTGCCAGATGCGTCCAGCCCAGCTTTCCATTAAAACCCGGGCAAAGGCCCCCTCCAAAGACCATGCATGGTCAGACACGCAGTTAAGAATATGTAAGCTCTCAAGAGGAACTGTCCAATTTTTGTTTCCACTGCATGCCGACGTAAACTACATGAGCTCTGAAGATGTCACTTCAAGCGCTTGCTTGCATATCCACATTCGGGTTGTGCATTTTGGTTGCGAGCAGGTGCCTGTGCTGGTCTGCCATCGACCGCGCAGCGCTCTGCCATTGCCATTGACCCTGCCCGTCCCCATCTCGAGGACCAGATCAAGGTCGGCCTCTTCATAATGCCGCCTTGAAACCAATATGCTCTCAAAAAAAAACGTGTCCATTAGCTAGGTGGTCGCATGGCTTGAAGTTCAGATCCTACCCCATCAGTTGGAGATCCAAAAGGCTGACAATGAGAGGACTCGAGCAACGCCATTGCAGGCTTCACGTTTCATGCGAGCACAGCCCTGCCCGACCCATTTTCCAACATGCAACGCAGCACGGTTTTCAAGACATCCCCAATTTGATGAAACTGTCGTAGTCAGGGATGCTCTCACGCACAAATGCCCAAAAAGCATGTTCGGAATGAGCTGAAGAACAGGTAAGAAACTGCGAGCATGCCGAACAAGCGACACTATACCTCTTCTCATTGGCGCAGGATGCCATAATACGGCCCGAGAGAAATCTTGCAGTTGGATTAAGCCTGATTACGCATGCCCGAAAATCAGCTTTGACGTTTCGCCGTGTGCACTTGCCTCAAACATCAAACTCGTGGCGCTGCAGGAACATCCAACTAGACTTGGACAAGGAATGCAAGCTGAGCCATTGTCAGTGATGATTTCGCTGTGAAGAAGATGAACGATGCCGCCGGCAACGCCTCCTGCACAAAATCGGAAGCGGATAACCCACTGTCGACTTTCTCAACAGCGGCTGCCTCCCAGAAGTTGAAAGACGCAATAGCGCAATGCCATCTTGATAGATGTCCATCCTGTCAATGCCCAGGCACCAACTAACCACAAAAAGATGCTACTCTACCAGCTCAGCAGATATGCTGGTCACGCTCCTGCTGTGCTGGCTGCAATGCCCATCTGAGCAGAGCAGGCACCACAACTTTGCTATCCCTCTAGTATCTCATCACCAGTAAGAGCCAGACGGACACAGCTGGGTTCAAGCAGGCCCCCGAAATGTTGCCAGCCGATGCTCCACCAACGACTACACAGAGTCCTAGCGTCAAATCAGGAAGAAGAGGATTGAAATGATTGAAAGCGTTGCCGATACACTCCACCACCCAGGACCTTGCCCAGCAGAATGCTCAAGGATCCCTCACAGGCCCCGCCTATAGCCAGTCCAAAGAGCTGCGACCCTTTCGTTTTGGGTGACACGGCTACTCCAAGAACCACAAAGGCCAGAAGAGCCGTAAAGAACCTCATTGCAAGGAGAACACCGTCATGACATCATGACAGCGAAGAATTCTTGTTGTTGCACTTGTTGCTCTGGGTGAGAAGCATCTCGGCTACAGCGGCTGCAGCAAGGCTGAAGCCTTCAATGCCACCAAAGTACGGACAGGCAGCTAAGCCAGCTAAGCGGTCTAGCTTTGCCTGGGCCAGGACCCAACACAAAGGAATTGCCACTGTAAAGAAGGCAGAAGCACCTTTCAAAAAGGCTCTTTTGCTGAATTCTTTCGAGAGGTTCCTGGGTTCCCGACCATCCTGCCAGGATGCAGCTCAGCAGCTGTGAAAGCATGTAGTGAACCTCTCGTGAAGTCGCATTGCGAGGAAGGCCCTGCTTTCAACAGGGGCTCCGGGGCTCCGTGCCGCCCGTTTCGGTGTCATCTCTGCGTCCTGGGACCCCGGAGTCTCCTCTTCTGTCATAAAAGAAAAAAAAACGGCAGGAGCACGTGGCCACTCAAAAGAACGGCCACCGTTACCTGGCAATTTCGAAGAAGGTTATCAATTCTGGAAAATTCTGCAGCACCAAGGCAGAACCCAGCGCAGGCACCGCAGGGTTGAAGTGAGCTCCAGACCTGGCCACTTGATCATTGCAGCATCTCCTTTGAACATGGTAAACCATCTATGCACGACCCTCATGTCTGAGGTTGGTTCACATCTCCCAATGCATACACCATGCTGGCGAGGCACCTGGCCAGACTCCGACATGGAGTGACTCGACAAACCTCGTCACTCCAGAAACTATGTCGTGGCTGCCCGCCGATGGAGACTACTGCCATTGGAGTCTTTGCCAGCACAGACAGGCCAACGGTTACCACCTCCGAGCAGTTTCATCTCCCAACGAGGCTAACTGCACAAACTCAGAAGCACCAAGGCAAACGTCCCGATGATCTCGCTGATCAACCTGGCAACGGAAAGGGCTTTGATTTTGAAGAATGAAGCATCTCTGCATGCCTTGTCCGAAGTGTCTCTGGTTCGTCGAAATCCGCAGGTCGAACCTTGGATGCTTGACTGGGTGTTCAATGGGTCCGGCCAGTCCACAACCGAATCAAGAAACAGAACATAACCCCAGCCCTAATGTTACATATTCATGAACTCTGGCGCTGCCATGAAGATAGCATTTTTTACATGCTACCATAACTCCAAAAACCATGCTTCAATGAATTTCATATTTATCTTAGTTGCTGCATGAGCTAGCAGGCTTCGTGTAGCACAGCGATGAAAACAAACATCTGTCCCAGTTTTCCATGTGCATGCTATCTGAAGTCAACCTACTGGACGTGCGGCTTCCAAATTTGACTGGCCCGCGCCTTCCTCAGTGGCTTTATTTTTTCTTACATTTTCCTGGGCTCGCAGGCACACAATCCCTTCTAGTGGCACAAGAACAGCAGAGTCTGGACCAAAAACACTCAAACATCTTCAACCGAGCCGCCAGTCTGAAGAGAAACGATGCCATGGCTGCTCCCAGCCTGAGCTTCAACCAAGACTGCCGTGCAAAATCATGTCCTGTATACCAGCCTCTAAGGGCCATGCAACTGGAAGACTGCGTACACCAACGACTTTCCAAACCCAACGCCTGCCGGACAGAATGTCAGCGACATGCTACAACCACAAACCCATGCCTGCTCCTGCAAGATCCACACCTGAGCAGAGCAGGTTGGCGAACGGGGAACTTGGCAGAAAGAAACTCCCAGGAGCTCAGGCCGATTGTGACGGCAGGATTAATGAGGCCACCGGAAACAGGCCCTGCCGCATAGGAGGCCGCAAGAGCCATGGCTCCAATGGCCACACCGTAGAACTCATTCCTACCAGCATGAACTACTCATTTGGATATGGCTCTGATGAAATCACAGTCTGGCACGCGCACCCCTCTGCGCTGTAGGCTCTTGCTGCTGTGGTGTTGAGGACCTCAAAGCATGGAAAGCTTTCCAAGAAAAACTTAGCATAATCAGTCCCTGGCCACAAAACATACGAGAAGGGAGTACATGAATTCGCAGAAGCAGGCATCCATCCAACCTGAAGCTCATGCTGGAATCAGGGCATCACACGCCCATCAGCGCAGCCAGGTCTGGCACTAAAACCTGCTCCGGGCCCAAGCCTGCACAAAAGCATAAAATGCCTTGAATATACACCAGTTACGGCATCGACATGACTAAACGGTAAGCATGGCGCCTGAAGGAATCTGCAAAAATGTTAACCTGAGGGGATATGGTCTGCAAGCCACAACCCATCATTGTTCTGTCTCGACTGTTCCAAACTGAGATGCGAGCAAAGCAGAATCCGCAGCAAATTCCAGCTCCGAGCTGGACCTCCGCTAGTTGCTGTTTACTGGACAACAAGACACATTGTTGAAAACACACAAGCGGTCAGCACTCGAACCACTAGAACTTGGAGCTGAACCAACGCGTAGGTTACGGCAACAGAGGTGTCCAGTCCTGGCCTCGATGCTTCATGCCAGAAAAAATGTCATTGACCTGGCTCACATGAGGTCTAAGGTTTCCACCCGCCAAATCTTTTGCTCATGTACAACCTCAAAAGGGCTGCAGAGGCAAGAAATGTGATTGCGCACACAGGTTCACAAAAACATCATTTGATAAGGCCGCGTCGCCAGCGTCACTGCTGGAGAGAAGTTAGCTCCAGACAATCCAGCAAGGGCATAAGTCAAGACTGTCCTGGGGGAAAGGCATCGGCATTGGTTTGAATTGTCGCCCATGTTTGTCCGAACCACTTGTTCACAGCAAAATTACATACAACTCATTCCAAGTTAAACTTGTTACACATCATCTCGCAAAACCAAAAGATCGCCAAGTATCAATGTTGTGGCCAGGGAGACACCACCGAGGACCGCAGCCCCCGAAAGCACATTGAATCCTTCCCGCAGCAAGGTTGAGTTATGAATTTTGTTTATCAGAACTGTCGTGCAAACAGCTTCATAAATCTTCACAATGACATGCTTGAAGACTCAAAATGCACCACATTTCCGAAGATTGTTGAAAGTGAAGCCGGGTCTGCAAACCACCCAAATATCTCATGCTGTAACACTGACAACCTTGTCCCATCGCAACACTCGCAAGCAATCAGTTTGTTTTTCATGGTTTCCAACAGCAAAAAAACCATCAATGTCTCTGAGAGCCCCGCCCACAGTGAGGAATGGCAAGAAAGCTCCAATGAATTCGGCCGCGCAACGTACTGGCAGGGGTGTATCAGCCTGCCAACTAAACATCATAAGCAATGAATCCTTAACGTTAATGGACAAACATTTCATGTTAACAAAAGCTGCCGGCTGCGCAATGGTCATGTCGACCTGCACATCAGACTGACGGATGTTCAACATACACTTGACGCATACTTTGCACCTTGCAACTTCAATCCGCAAGCAACGCTTGCGCCGGGTGCCCTTGATGAAGAGCTTAAAATTGCGACCATCGACAACAAGAAATATTGTCCGATAGCCTGTGCCTGATTCAGAACATGATCAACACAAAACATTCCGACACCCCCCGAACGCAAGTGCATGTGCTTACAATTGCTGTTTTCATTGGTGCAACCCACCATTGCCACGTCAAATGTCTGTGCTTCACATCATTTGCAACAGTTGCAAACTTGACAAAATCAACTGTTTTTCATGGGGCATCTGGCATGTGGTATCTATCACAAACTGAATCACAAACCCACAAGTAAAACAAAAAAATGATTTCTGACGTTTGGGCGACGGGCTGTGGTCTCGGCTTTGCCTTACAAATTGTCTTGCACCTTGAATGATACAAGCTGACAAGTGAACAGCTGCTAGTTCAAGCTTCGTTAACACAAGTGGCAACATATGTTGATGCAACAGCTGCTTGCAAACTGCCGCGGACGATGACAAATTTCTGGAACCAAGATCATAAAGCTTATGACGCCGACCCCCCAGTCAGACGAGGGTCAGTTTAATGACTCGAACTCTGCTGAAGGCAGGTTGCAAAATGTGTGCACATTTTGCACCCAAAAAAAGACAGATTTCACTGGTAGGCGAAACTCCGATTAAAAGCTACCTCAATGCCGCGGGGAGCGGGCAAGGCGGGCGGGACAACCTGAGCATTGCCATGCATCTTTCTCGTCATTAATGCTCAATGACTCGAAATCTGCTGAAGGCAGGCTGTAAAACGTGTGCACATTTTGCACCCAAAGAGGACAACGTTCACAGGCAGGCGAGACGCCCGTAAAACCTACCTCAAGGCCTTCACCCGCTGTTCCCAACTTCATGATCAAGTGTACTTCCCAGCGGCAAGCAAAGCAAACCATACCGTGCGCAAGATTATTGCCTCAACGAAAAGAGCGAACCTTCTCCCACGATGCTTCATACTGCTCGAGAGCCCCAAAGACCAGCCGCCCGAGGTAGACGACAGCCGCGGTAGGAGCTGAAGGGCAAAGACCTCTTGAACATAGATCTCGTTGACGTTGGAGCTAATCCATCTGTCCCTACGCCTCACCAGATCTGGGTTATCTGACGGTTATCTGATGTAAGCATCAGCCACGAGGCTCCACCGGCTGTCGGCGAAGCAAGCTTCAGGTGCAGGGTGTCGGCCAGGCGCAGTCGGCACGCCCAGGGCGCTGGCAACCTGCTTGAAGCGGTTCCGCAAGGTCTGGCCCGAAGCAGGCCAGAGCTTTTCCTCCGGGCGAAGACCATTGAAAAGCACAGCAACCAAGCTTCGCAACTCCGGCTGGTCAATGCGCGCTGACTGGTGCCGGGCCACAGAAAACCTTGTCTTGGGCTCCTTGATTGAGAGCACTGCCAAGTCAATAGTGCGGTAGACGTCGCCTGGCAGGAGAAGGTCCTTTCGCTTTGCGGCGAGCAGCTCCCCGACGCCAAGGTTGTGACTTCTTTGTCGTGGTAAGCATTGTAGATCATCAGAATAGCTTTTTAATGATTTTGGAAAATTTCCGGAATGATTTCAAATAGTTTGTTTTCAAACTTCTGATTGGAGCTAGTTATATTTCAAGCGTTTTGGCAGCTTCCTTTTTCAGGGTAGCTTGGTTGCAAGTGTTTGGGTTGTCTCCTTTTTTCTGGTTAGCTAGGTGCCAGTGTTCTGGAAGATTCTTATCCATGGTTAAACTTTCCTAACATAATCTCCAGGCCCAAGAACGAAATCAGTGCTTGGGGCTTAGAGACTAGGGGTTTAGGGTTTAGGGATTAGAGGTTCAGGGGTTTAGGGCCCAGAGGTTTGGGTTTAAGTTAGGATTTAAGGTTTAGGGATTAGGGGCCACTGGCCCGAGACTTGCCAGTAGTGTGGCTGCGCATGCAGATGCTCGGGGGTTGTGCCATGGACTGGGATGATTTCTTGCAAGGAGGAAGTTACTTCACGGGGGTCGTGAGCATTTCGGATTGTGGGGATTCCTATTCCTGTCGGGGCGTTACCATCCAGAGGAATGAGAAAGTTTCTGTCTTCTTACAGCAGGCGGTAAGTTGGCATGAGATTCAGAGGATCACTTTGGTCAATTTCCTTGTGCAGCGTGACAATGACGAATGGAAGCTCATTCAGACTGACCCTGGCCGTTTCTTCATGCATGGTACTTTCCAGCCACAAGCGTTGCTGACGGTGAAGGAGGCGTGTTGTGGAATCGGGGCCTTGGGTCGAGGCTTGGCCTTTTTGGGTTACAAGGTTGTGGCCCAGAATGATGTTCAGGAAGTTACGATTCGAGAGGCGGTTCGCATTTCCAAGGCTGTTCCGGTGCATGGAGACATTTCCTCTACTTCCACAGTATGTGACATGTGGGAGGCCAAGCCTGGGGATTGTACACTGGCAGCTGGCGTGGCTTGCCAGCCCTATAGTAGACTTGGGGACAGAAGGTCATCACAGGATGAGCGTTCCAGTACATTGCCGGGGACCTTGAGGGCCAGCTATTTGATGCAGTGCTCTTGTGTCATTCTGGAGTGTGTACCTCAGGTGGTTGACGATCACTGGGTTCAGGATGTCATTCGCAGTTACACAGCAGTTTCTGGACAGGTTGCTAATCAGACTGTTCTGTCGCTTCGTCAAGTTTGGACGGCAAAGCGAGAGCGCTGGTGGTGTGTGTTGCCGCGCCCTGAGATTGCTCCTCCGCAACTGCTATCATGGAAGCCCCACGGGCCTTGGAGATCCGTGTCTGATGTAATGGACTGCTTTAATGTCAGTAAGGAAGAAGAAAGTGCCCTCTCTCTGTCACAGTACGAGTTGGAAAGCTTTGCAGACCTGCGGCCACTTTCTTCGTACTGCATCCAAGTCGGTCAGCCTCTCCCAAGTGCTCTACACAGTTGGGGGTCGCCATTGTCCCCTTGCCCGTGCGGCTGTCGCACTGCACCGTTTCGCTGGGATCGTTTGCAGCGGCATGGACTTTGCTCGGTCATAGTACCGTATGCCACGGAGCAGTCCGACACGTGCTATCGCTATCCATCGGCTGCCGAGATTGCCGTCTTGAATGGGTTGACGCCATGCCTGGACTTTGGGGCTCCTCGCCTTTCCCTGGCTTTGGTTGGACAGCTCACAAGTCCTCTTCAATCCGCTTGGATTGGTGTGCAGGTTGCAGCCCGCATCAGCCAACTGGGCGTTGTCTTTCCGAGCTCGCTGGATGGAATCCAAGTCCTCCACACCCAGAGAAGACTGCTTTTGCGGGATGCAGAGTTCATGGGTTACCGCCCGACCACAGTGAGGGGAGTCATGTCTCATTGCCCCTCAATAGTCTATGAGACTCATGCACAGGTTGTGCAGCGCCACTGCCAGAGCCTTGCGGATAGGCGCGATGAAAGTGCTGGGACTGCCTCTGCCCCATCCCCTAGAGGTTTAGACTCCGGCCCCGGCCTGCCCAGTGCCTTGAGAATCCCCTTGGTTTAGGTGGTAGTGGTTTAGACCCTTCCTCATCCATTAGCAGCATACTGCAGCGAGAACAGCATGCAAGGGACATTGATGCTGCGCCTGGCAGGACCGATGTTGGTTGCAACGCACTTGCACACGCTGCGACGCCACGTGCCGGTCCCTATTTCCCCCCTAGGAATTCGGGTTTAGACCTTGACCCCTTGGGCCTTCTTGCTCCTCCTGGGTTGCCCTCACCCCATAGTGGTTTAGACCTGAGACACGGCGTGGCCTCGTCTGCATACGATGGCCTTGAGCAACCTAGGAAGAAGATCCGGGTCCAGGATTCCTTTGGGGCCACTGAAGGTCATGAAGCGCTTGGCCTCTCCGCCTCTTGCAGCCTATGAGGAGCCTACACACGCATTGCCTCCGCAAGTTCAGGGCCGCTTGCCAGGTTGGCGCCAGTTCACAGCAGGTTGTTCGCGAGCAGTTCCCTGAGGTCCCCTGCTTCCTCGCTGTTGATGCGCAAGGCTCTGTTGCGCTGCCTACCTGCCCGCTCATCACTGGACAGCAAGTCTGGGTATGGGTTCCTAACGGGGTTGGTTCTCCTGCTGCGTTTTTGCCTGATGTGGCAGCCTTGGGCAAGTGCTGGCCCAGTTCTCCGCTGTGCTTACCCGCCAGGGTCCGAAGAGATTGCCTCAGGTATCAGGGCACGTGTTTGGCGGATGACCAGATTGTGCATTCACTTAAGTTCGTTGCTGGTTGCGGAAAAAATGTTCAGGTCCTGGAGCCGCATCTCCTGCTGAAGTGTCTTTCGGAGGCTTCCCCAGAGCTGTTGCGCCAGTTCGTCCCTGCCATGACTCGTGGGTGCAAAGTTATCACATGTGTACCCTTGGCGGGGCATTGGGTTTCCTTTGCTTGGTCCATTCTTGGGGGCAAGATCCTCGCCTGGATTAGCATGCCTGGGACCTTTCTCGCGGAGGACATTTCTGTCCTGCAATGGCTGTGGGGCAAGGCTGCGGGTTTGTCGCGCCAAGCTTTCGAATTTAGCGAAGGCCCAATCCGTCCCCCTGTGCCTGGGCTGTGTGGCCATTACGCTGTGGCAGATTTGCGCTGCTTTGTCTTGCACCACCCCTTTCAAGATGACCAGTCCTGCCTTTGTGTTGCCGCTACGCTTGCTGCTTCGTTTGATCTCTCTTTGAGTGAGAACACCTTGGTACGGGCCCCGCTTTTCCTTGCATCTGGCGCAGGTGATCTAATTGAAAAGGGCCTCGCTTCGCTGTTGAAGGATCGTGGAGTCCCTGCAGACAGGGTTGCTACTCGGGCTGCGCAGGCGGTTCAGCGTCTTGGCCTCGGAGCCATCCAGACGGCAATGTGCTCACCAAATCCTTGGCGTTGTTTGAAGCAGCTTGCAATTTGTTCTTCAAGATGAGCTTGCCCAGGTTGTTCAGGCTCGGTCCCATGCTGATCCTTCAGGAAAGCGCCAGAAGAA